GTAGAATACGAAGGAAATGAAAGTAGTTCGCTATAGCGTAAGTGGTATATTGGCTTTTATATGCGAAGTTTCGAATTGGTGAAACTAAGGAATGTAGCTCGTGTAAAGATTTTCCGAACAAATAGCAACAGAGTAGCAAGAGGCGTGCAACGTTTCGTCTGTAGCAAAGGGATTGTTGGGTTGAAAATATCCCATCACCCACAAGGTCATGTATACACTTTGGAAACAAAGCAACATTAACGTCGCTCTGTGAAGTAAAGGAAATATATGTAGTACGCACAACCTCGGGTATCATTGTTAATTTCAATGCAAAATGTAACTCTATATCTCGTGAAGTTATTAAATTTACTGGACAGCTTAGTCTCCTTAATAGAGTGTGAATTATAGTAATTGAAATTAATTTATCAGTACACATGTTTGAATATATTTGCAATATTTACATTGTTCGGACTGTGGTTCTCATCTTTATTGACATATTCACGACATTTCGGCCATTGTACGCCCCGGTCATCTTCAGGTGATATTGGAATTTCCGAACGAACTATTTTTTTTCTCACGGGAGTACTCAATACAGCATTAAAGTTGAGGACCTCATTCAGAACAATGTAAATAATACAAATAGTTACAATACCGTATCTCAGAAATAGATATTTGAATATGTAGGTATATGGAATCATACATATTTTCTATTTACTTATAATTTATCTGTTGTATCCTCATCTAAAAGGGAAGTTTCCCCTATTACCAACTTTTCACGTGTACAGGTAAAAATCATAGTTAAGTTAGATGAAAGGCAGCCAGACCATAAACAGCCTTTGGCAACGTTTGAAGAGTGTTAGGCTATCTAACCTGAATTAAATAGGACGGCTTTTTACTCTCCAGGTCAACAACGAAAGGTAAGGAAATGCTTTGGAATATTGAAATATAGAAATTAGCGGGAAGGAAGTTGTTTTTGATTTGTTTGTTTTTGTTAGGTGGTCTGAGCCCTTTTATGTTCTTTAAAGTTCCAATTAAAGATCGTAGATTATATCGCATTTGAAAAAAAAAACAACAACTTTCAAATCAAACTACAATTGATGTCGCTGCATAGACACTCACTTAAGCATAAAATAAACAAATGAATTCGACTTCATACCAAATATGTTCTGTGTTTCATCCCTTCAGGATGTTAGTGATCATACCTCTCCAAATATTCCTTCCCTTTATAGATCTTAATAAATTTTGTTTTTTATTATGTCGACTAATTCCATGGAGAATTTTCACATGATCGACACTCTTTAGTTCTAGTTTCCTTAAGATCCACCATGCATCGTCTATTACAGCGAACCACCGTCACTAACTTCGTATTCCTTTGGTAAGAATGCAGTTCTACTCTAGTATGTTCTTCCAACGAATCACTATCTTCTAGAACCAACTACTAAGAGATTGCTTCCCGGATCACTACAATATGAACCTGTTCAAATCTAGGATTATCTGTTATCTTCCACAGATATCCGCATAAGCTGTGTCTCTTATTCTGAAACTCTCTATCTTCACAGACCCTCGAACAATATATTGGGTGAGCATCAGATTAAAAAGAATAAATAAACGCCTAATCCCTATTCTGCTAATCATCTACACAAGCTCGTTACGTAGATTAAGTGCTAAATTCCTGTTTATTTTGCCTTCAATAGAGCCTGTGAGTATCATATCTTCCAAGCCCTTTTCTCTTATTATAAGCCCTAGAAATTTCAACTGTCTGTTTATGATGCTAAATATAAATGTCCATTTAGTTATCATTTTCTCTAAATCTGTTCACGTATTTTTTTTCTACAGCTTTCATTCTGTTGTTCATGGCACTCTCTATATACAGAACGTAACATTTGGTGTGAGTATTTGCAATGAATGGTATTGTGAATACCATTCAGTCCATTCTTATCAAGGAGATCCTTGTTTTAATAAATTCTTTATATGTATGACACAATTGTGACAAAAATGTTTATAATTTAGAGACATTAAATTGACAGGCATCTTAAGGATTGTCTTATATATAAGTACAATACACTATTTAAATTTGTTGCGATATCTATCACAACGTTTCGGCTGTTGTAATCTACGGCCTTCTTCAGGTAGTTGGAATATCGAAAGAAACCCTTTAATTCGCTCGCTGGGGTAGACTGTTCTAGTTCAACGTGCCATGTCTAATGGATGTCAGTTATCAGCTATCTCCTGTTAATACACCTCTCCAAGATCCCCACTGCATTAACCAGGTATTGAACTTAAGGACACGCGACGCAGTGGATAAAGGCGTTGCTTAGATCAAGTGACAGGACCCAAAGAGTGTGAGTTTAATACCAGACAATATCAAATACAAAATAAAAAGGCACATCGCTTTCAAAGTATATTGGCGATTAAAAAAACATATTACCAGTGTCATTTTTAAGGATGTTCAATGCGAATCTGTGTATGGTCGATAAAGACTTTAGCATCAGTGTACATATTGATGCGTGTATGTGATTAGTTATTCCTATCGGTTTATTTACTCTTAAGCGTTATTTATTTTTTTAAACGTTAGTAAATTGAAACGTATTCAGAATGTTTCATTATTAATCATCCTTTTATCTATTGGCGTTTGTTCCTTACGCTAAGTATTGTAACATTAAATATATGACTGATAACTCTTTCTGCAGAGTGGAGATTGCTTAATGCCATGTACGTGAAATCAGAATAATTAATAATTTTTTTTTGAGCTGTTGAAATATCAGTAAACATTTCTACATATTTGTGCATATTGAAACTTTCGATTTTATTTAGTTATATTAAATTTGGGTATATTGAATTTGGGTATATTGAATCTGGATATATTAAATTGGTGTATATTGAATTTGGTCATATTGAATCTGTGTATATTGAATTTGGGTATATTGAATCTGTGTATATTGAATTTGGGTATATTGAATCTGGGTACATTGAATCTTGATATTTTGAATGTAAATATAATACATTTGGGTGTATTGAATCTGGGTATATTGAATCTGACTGTATTGAATTTAGGTATATTAAATCTGGTTATATTGAATCTGGATATATTGAATTTGGGTATATTGAATCTGGTTATATTGAATATTTTGATTTTGTTTAGTTTTAATTTTGCGTAATTATCCTTAAACATATTACCAATATTTGAAGGGTACTGTAACTGGGGAAAAGATCACGGTTTGGTCGGAAATGTAGCAGTATTGGCAGTAAGTGAATTTAACAAACTTTGAAGATTGTCACGCGGTCTACCCTGAATTAACTAGGCGGGGCTGAACACAGCTGCTCAACAAGAAAAGGCAGAAAATGCTTTTGAACAGAGATTGATGGAAAACTGACGGGAAGCAAGATTTTGCGACGAGCTTTGAACTGTTACTTTCTTATCATTTCATTTAAATATTTTAGATGTTAGTGATTTGGGGAAACCATTATACAGATATTATGAGATTATATTCCAACGGCTTTTTCAAGTCTGCATAGATGACAATTTTGAGGTGAACACAATTTGAGTGACGTCTCTCAATGACGAATTTTTAAAAAGAACAATTATTTGCAAAATTCCATTATATGATAAACCAATTTCTGACGTCGCTCAATAAATCATAATTTCTCATGACTAAAATCACATGTGTTTGCCAGAAGAAACTAAAGGTAAACCGAAGAATTTATCGCATTTTTACGAAATGTGGCCGCCAGCACTTGACAGCAAAACAAATAGTAGGATTGATGTTTAGATACGATACGGGACTCTTCTGAAATGGAGAGAGTTGACAGTCAGTGAACACTCAGCACCTGAAGATTGCGTTTGGTATGTAACCCCGAGTAGTGCATAACTCTAAAACAATTTTTCTCATATATATATATATATATATATATATATATATATATATATATATATATATATGCTGATATTAGATATTTAAATGATGTTAAGAATAGCATACATAAATAAAAAGCAATAGAAAATTGTTATATTTTAACTTTTAATTTCAAGAGATGTGTGAATTTTCTGAAAAGACGTAGAAAACTATGGGTATGTTAGAATAAATATCTTGCCGTTGGAAAATGTAAGAACAATCTCAATTGTCTCCCATACTGTCTGTGGCAATGCACCCTATCAAAAATGTTTGGTCTGATATGATTCATTTTGATTTACCTCGCATCTGTTTTACCTATTCACAAACTGCACAACAGGCTGGTGATTAAGCAGCAGAAAAAGCATTGATCCGAATACTAATTTGATACGCAGTTGTTCACTGCCTGCCTGAATCCGACAAAATCAGTATAGCGTCTCATTTCAACGCATCCGTACATGTGCCAGGTGACGCTAATTTAATAAATGTCAAGAAATGCGTGTAATTTTTGTCCTTGTGAAATATCCCAAATCCTAATTGTCCTTAAAGTAAAAATTAAACTCGAGAAAACTTCGATAAAAAAAAAAGTGAAGAGTGATATTCTTTTGTTAATTTAACAAAATACTTTTTTTTTTCTAGGATGGATTTCGTATCCTTGCATTTCGTCAGATAATGAAATGCCCCAGCGATAATTTCATTATTTGTTCCTAACCTTTTCCTTCAAAATCCAAAATCGGATGGAAATTGAAATTAATCCCGTGGTAGCATTCATTAATTTTAAATCGTTCGAAGGTAATTAAAATCCGGAAAAAATTACACAACTTGGAGGTAATATTTTTAAACAATAACATAACACTGGCAAAAGTGGAGTTTTTGTCTGCTAATGCACATGAGCGCGTTTCATTTCATTCGTTCTTTTTTTACATTATTGAACCAATGAGAATGGGAATCCAAGTAAGTGCAGTTCTTGAAAACGATGCCAACAATTCGGTATCCACGTCTATTTCATGATTTTATTATTTATTTTTTAGTAATTTGCCACATTTTTTCGTCCTTGTCTATAATAGCGTGAATAGAGAGACAAGGAAAATGTTACAGCTCAACCATAAAACAATGTGTATAGGGATTATGATGCCATTGGTGTATCATTTTCACAGTTCTCTTGCCAACATTTACCAAGGATATTTTCTTTTCTTTCTTTGGTTGTCTTCATCATTCGTTGATATGTATTGGGAATTTATTTGTAATTTTTTATATTTGCAATGACTTTGCTCATTCTGATGTGTTACACACACACGCACATATATGTGTTAACAAATTTTAATTTTGACTATTTAAAAGTTAATTATTCCTGAGACATAATTTTACCTGGTTTCTTATTAAGAATGCATGTTTAAGAATTATTCATTAGCTTCTGTATATACAGACAACACAAAATTCATGTATATTTCTAATTTTGTATTCGTCGACCAACTATTCAGTTTAATGATCTTAGTTTTAACTTTCATGTAACAGTAATGGTTATATCGGAAAATTCTCGAGATGTTGTTTTAGTTATATATCGGGTGCTACTTTTTTCTCTGTTCTTATTTACAATTTTCATTTGGATTTTCATTTTACATATCCTTCTTTATTTTGCTGTTATGAAAACGTTTACGAAGTTGTGTCCAAGAGCCTACTCGTGGTGTCTGCGTGTCTGGATAACCAGAGAATTTTGAATGGAAGTGTTTATTTAATCTACTGTTATCTATTTAATGTTAGGTCATACATAACTTGTGTTGGGATGTCTTGTTTGCAGGAAAATTGTTAATCTGAAAATTATGTTAGACTCTGAGCATTTGCTGTTGGTATATTTTTAGTCACCACTTTTAATATTTACGGGTTATTGTAGGCATCATAGCATCTATTTCTGAATGATTCATTCATAGTTTGATTTAAATTAACTTATAAAGGTTTGGTGAAGGTTAGTTGTCCAGATATCATGATTACATTCCCTGTGCGAGTTATTAGTATATGTAGGGGCGTTTATCATTTTTTGTTTTGTCTTCCATTGTGATTTGGATAGAAGTTTTTAGTGTGTTCATATGGTCCAGATGTATTCCTAAAGCTGTTTGTTGATGTTTGAACTTGAAAGTGTCATCTAAGTAATATCATTCACACGATTAGCATTGATGTTGCCATTTGTAAAGCCATTTCCATGTATATTCATTCTATATGTTTGCTATTACTAGTGTTAAAGCTGCCCCCATAAACGAGTCATCTTCTAGTGGGTCTATATTATAATTTAGTTTGAGAATGCTATCTGTTAACGAAATTTCAATATTTCCCAATCGGGATTGTGATATGTTCTGCCAGGGTGGATCTAAATTTCTGTCTGTTTTGACTCATCACCATATTCAGTCATACTATCCGAATGCTCGGAATGGGAGATGCTGGAATTAATTCCACAGAGCGTTCTGCGTTTTCTATAAACGATGAGTACTTTTCTTTTGGTGTATTGACAATAATAACAAAAATGTCACTGGCTCTAATGTAATATTAATAATAACTTTACATCATAGAATTTCAAAGTCTTTTTTATGTCTTCAATAGGATATTCTAATCTTTTATATATATATATTCATTATTTTAATGTTCTCTTCTTTTCGGATTATATTGAAATCATATTTTGGTTTCTAATATTTTCTCTATTCTATACTATTTTTCTTCTCTTCTCCATATCTTTTCATTTCAGTTTACATCTCACTCTGTCTCTGACTTGCTGATCCTTTCCTCTTACTCTTCCCTTCTTTTTGCCTTTCTGTTTCCTTTTATTTAGCATTATTTTTGTCTTCTATTCTCTTCCATTCCTATATTACCTTTTCTATCCCTATTTTGCTGTTTTTTTTAAGTCTATATTTCCTTTCATTTTCTATTAAATATTTTTCCTCTTTTACTTCTTTTCACTTTATCGTTCTTTTTTTATTTTAATTTTCCTTTCCCTTTCTTTTTTCCTTCCTTTACGCTGATCTACTTATCTTATTCCTTTCTTCTTTTATCGTCACTATTTCACATTTCTTCACATTCTTTCCAACTTTATTGATTTCACATTCCTTTCTCTAGTATTTTTCTCTTTATAATTCCTTTCTTTTTTTACCAATCTAATGTCATTCATTTTCGATTGTCTCCCTTTTTATATATTTTCGTTTTGTTTTCATTTTCTCGTCTCGTTCTCCTTCTCTTCCTATTCACTTTATATTTATTTCCATCTCTTTACAATCCATTCTCTTTTTCTTATCTTTCTTATCAATTATTTTTGCTTAAAGTCTCGTGTATATACGTTTTCTCAGTTCTTTCGAATTTCCTTCATTTTCATTCATATTACTTTCCTCCATCATATCCCTTTATTTTTCGTCTTAAAAACAAATATTACATTCATTTTTTGTTACTTTTTTATTCTTCTCTTCATTATCTATTTCCTATCTAGGATATTAATTCATATTTCCCCTATCAGAAAAAAAAGATCTGTGTCCAATATATTGATATATTGAAAAAGAGGATGCTCACTAGAGGCTCCAGGTATGCATTTGGTGCTTTCAATATATATTTCTTTCGAAAACGTACTGCTATAAATCATGTTATATGATATGAACATCTATCGCAATATGTATAATCTTCAGTCTGACCAATTCTTTTTGCGGAATAAGTTCGATTCGAACCGGAGTCTCTAACCATAGCTTAAAGTTAAACAAGCTTACGTGTATGTAATAAATATTTTCAGCAAGGCTGATTAAATAGAGACATTTTTCATAAATCCATCTTGTACACTAATTTAGAATTGTAATTCATACCTTAATGTAAAAAGTTCCCCAGAGTTCTTATTCCGGAACAAAGTTTATCAGGGCCATAGCAGCCAGGAGGTTCGGGAGGCTTGGCTTCCCAATTGTTTTATTTTACAAATTTTAGTATTTTTACGCCTTTTTATTTTCAAAAAATGCAATAAAGAAAGAAATACGAGAAAGTAAAATAAACTATCATAGCAAGGATGAATATAATTTTAATAAAACCCCGATGAAATAATTCTTCTTACAAAGTGTATCATTAAAAGTGTACATTTAAAAGAAAATGATGAACATTTTTTCATTTGTAACACAGACCGTTATCTATTATTCCAAAGATGATTTCTTCTCATCTAGAATTACTGGAAATTTTAAATGCTCTTGCCTCTATGTTAGCAGTTTTTGATAACGTTAGGTTTTATTCTAAATTTTTGGGGCCTCGCTAAAATATTTGTCTGTTCTTCGACCCTGCTTTTTCGATCCTGGCTGTATTTAATCTTTCTTGCTCTCAGTAGTTTTTGAAACATCATTCTTTTTATGTTACTGTCTACGCACAGAAAATCTTTTAATAATTTACTCGGTGTTTTCTGCTGCCTCTTTTATAATTATATGTCCTGTGAATATTCACTTATCTCGGTGTTCTTTCCAGAAATTCTGTAAATTACAAATTGTAAATGTCCGTATCGTTGAATTAAAACTTCATTGATTCTCAAATGTTCCGTCCATTGTAGACTCAGTATACTTGAGGGTGACTAGATCTCTGTTGCTTCAATACTCTTCTTCGTCTATAAGGATATTGTCTCGCATTCTAGCTTTGAATTTGCGTAGCAGTTAAGCAATATTTTATGTATTAAGAGATAGGAAAAGTACGCTAAGAAAAAAATAAAATATGATACTCATATTGATCTCTTAGGATAGCCCCTCTGTATAAGTTAAATAAATGCAATCAGCGAAACTAACTGAAGATCATATGTATCTGGTATATTCGTCATTTAATGCATCATATTTGGTAGAATTAAACGCAAATCATATTTCCTTAGTATATATTTTTGAACATTTTGTATATTTATTTTTAATAATAATTTTTTATATTGCACCCCAATCAAGGCACTGAAAGGAAAGTCACTATGAGGTAAATAATTATTGCATTGAGATTCCTTGCTAATCCTCGTCACCACTTTTGTGATGTTGGATGGCATCGCTTGTCACTTTTGCCATGCCAAGCGAGAGCCTGTTATCAATTCCAAAAATGCTAGTTATATTCGAGACTTCATAGACGCCGGTCCTAGTAGTAACGCTTTCCAATAATATTCACACTAGTAATACTTGTTCAAGTAGTAATCGCCAAATAGTATAATGATCAGAAAAGAATCGTAATCCGTGTAGTAGTAGAGTAGATAGAGTGAACGTATAGCAACAGTGGATAGACAAGAAGAGTGAATGTAGAGTGATAGAGTATAGAGGAGAAATAGTGATCATTTAGTCGTCAAGCTACTTAGTATTTATTCACTTCCTTTATGAACACGTGATCTTATTAATAATGGAATCGCTCGGGTTACTCACTAGTGATCTAGTTTCAAACCACAATGACAGCAAGGACGCTTACTCTTATACAATCGATAGAAAGTGAAAGAAACTGAGAAAAGGAAGAAACTAATAGGAAAGGACAAAAAAAAAAAAACAACCGTATTCAAAGAGACTTAATATGTTGACTATAATTATACTGGAATGTTTGAGGAACGGAGTTGACCGGAAATATAGAATGTGGAAAAGCGTTCCACAGGCGAGATGTGCAAAAGAAAAAATCATTAGAATAGAACTCATGGTTACACTTGGGAATTTCAAGAATAAAATGGGATCTCTGTGTCGTCCTACTATTACGCTTAAATTCATGAAGTCAAGGTACCAAAGAAGAGCACGCCACAGAAGATTTACCATGAAGATACTTGTAGAAAAGGCGGCAATAATAGCAGTGACGAAGGCAATTAGATTTGTGAAATGATTCAGCTGTTTTTGTCAAAGATCCATCATCTATTGTTATAAAATTATTCTTCTGATAGTATAGTGACTGAAGTTGCATAAACGTTGTTATTTTCCTGTGAAAATAGCATGTAAGAAATAAATGGCGATACTGAGGAAGTCTCAGTTTCTTTTCATCAGAGAAACAAGCTACAATTCTGCACTCCAGAACGACATTGTTTAACCTATCTCTCATCTCTAGTCTGATTCTTGTATTCTTTCTGCAACTCTTGCATTCTTTTATTTCTGCCTTTACAGACTTATTATCATATGCTCATAAATATATATTGCTTGTTGGACCCAACAACTCTTTTCATTCCTTTCCTCGTTCTTTATCTTCCTATTATTAAAGCCCTTTTTTCCATTACGGAATAATTCCAATATTCTTCTATTCTTTATTTTGCCCTTAGTTATCTTCATCCATTGTTATTTTAGTGATTTTTTTTTCATTATGGTATCCAATTTTTTCTTCTCACTAAGGCATTCTTTATAATACTATTTTTTTCATATCCTTTCATACACAATCTATAGAGATTGCTAATATGTCCTTCCTTTTCCCCTTTTTCCTTTTTCCTTTTTCCTTCTTTCCTTACCAATTTTTTTCTCCCTGATTTCGTAGTTCGCTTCTATTCTAATCTAATGGAAATCTCTTGATATCACAGACGATTTTCTTAAGGACAAGTTTTTTTTCTTTCTTTTCTTCAAAGATTTGTTCCAATTACCATATATTTCTCACGATCCACATTTCTCTTTTATATTCACCAAATAATCCACGCATTATTTTCTATTTCATAAAATGTCTTTTCTCTTTTGGCTTTTCTTTCCCATTATTCCTACCAATTCTTACATATTTCTGATTATTTATCACAATATATATTACTTGATATCACCAGTATCTCCTTCACTGTTCTTGCCTATTTTCACTGCCATTATTCTTTCTATTATCAGAAACTCTTCCTATTACGAATAATTTCCAGTATTTTCCATCCTTTTTCATTTCCAACTTTATGATTTCCTATTTATCAAAACGATTCTGCCTTCTACTTATCTTATTCTGACGCTTCTCATGAAACCTGAATTCTTCTGGCACAAGGCCAAAATAGTGAGGTTTTCGATAAAGACAGACCGCATAAAATCTTGATTCAATTTACAAGTCGATTTTGCTGAAATGCATGCAAAAATCATATTTTTACGTCTAAATTAGTCTGGTACAATACCACTTTAATTCGGCAATAACTGATGCTGTATACAACTAGAGGACGTGCTAAAGAGTATTCCCTTCATTTCAATATATTATAATCTGATATTTTATCAATTCTTTTAATTTCTTCTGAAAAGCGATCCACTTATGCAATCCTTCTGACATTGTATACATTCCTCCTGTTTTCAAATGATATATTTTGATGCCTTCTTCAGTTGGCTTCTTTCTGCAATGAACGAAGAATTCGATTTTCGTTGCATATCACTGAGATAGGTTTTATATAAATATGCATAACAATTCATCTCATATTTTCAGGTTTCTTTCTTTACTTTCTCTTTTTGCCAATTATTACTTTTCGTTCGTTCTTTACTTATTTATTTATTCATCCCGATAGTCAACTTCTGCTACTTCGGTTTCTTTTACATCTTTTTCTATCGATGTTTTTTACTTCCTTTTTATATATGCTATTTAAGGTTCCCAGATTACACTTCCTCTCCGCCATTGTTTTAATTATCTCTTCTCTTTTCTTTTATAGAGGCTATCTTTCTTTAGTTGGTTTTCATCCTTGCTTTCTTTCTATTTTATTTTTTTAAATTTTATTTCATTGTTTTCTTTCTTTTTTCTTTCATTATTTCTTTCTTTTTCTTTCCTTTATTTATACCTTATTTTCTCTTTACATTCCAATTCTGTTCTTTCTTAAATATCTTTAACTTCTTTCTTTCTTTTTTCTTTCTTTCAACAGATTTTCTCTTTTATTTCCAATTCTGCACTTCCTTAAATCTCTGTAACATCTTTCTTTCATTTTTCATTCTTTCAACAGATTTTCTCTTTTATTTCCAATTCTGCACTTCCTTAAATCTCTGTTACATCTTTCTTTCATTTTTCATTCTTTCAACAGATTTTCTCTTTTATTTCCAATTCTGCACTTCCTTAAATCTCTGTAACATCTTTATTTTATTTTTCATTCGTTCAACAGATTTTCTCTTTTATTTCCAATTCTGCACTTCCTTAAATCTCTGTAACATCTTTATTTTATTTTTCATTCGTTCAACAGATTTTCTCTTTTATTTCCAATTCTGCACTTCCTTAAATCTCTGTAACATCTTTCTTTCATTTTTCATTCTTTCAACAGATTTTCTCTTTTATTTCCAATTCTGCACTTCTTTAAATCTGTTTACCTTCTGTCCTTTCTTTCTTTTTTTCTTTCTTTCTTTCTTTCTTTCTTTCTTTCTTTCTTTCATTCTTTCTTTCTTTTTTTCTTTCTTTCTTTCTTTCATCTCTATTTTTATTCACCACTTTTTATACATATTTTCTTTCCTTTATTCATGTTACATCATTCTTTCTTCCTTATTTTTCTTATTTTTCTATTTTTTTTTCTTTTTTGTTATTCTTTCTTTATAAAATCTATATTTTTCCTTTTCTTCCTTATTATTCGTTTCTAGGTTATTATTCCCAACTTTTTATTCTTTACTTTTTTATCCTTGGATTTTTTACCTTTTTTTTTTAACACTTGATTCCTCCCCCCATTCCTCATATGTATTCTTTTTTTTTTCTTTTTGTTAAATATGAATTTAAAAAATTAGTCTTACGAGATTACATTCAATATATCTATTCTTTTTATAGATCTTCCAGTCTTCCAGATTTATACATAGTTTTTTTTTTAATATTTAACGTACTATACGATAACACTTATCACCGTCCTAATTTCATCCGTGTTTCACATTAGTTTCCTTCTGTTCTTCTCTTTTCTCTAACTTCCTTCCTTCTAATCTTCCCCTACACTAACACTCTGTGATACATCGACGTCTATTGCTTGACTGAAGGTTGAAGATGCTTACTCTTTCTTTAACGTCCTTTCTCCGTATCGAACAAATGCCTTTGTTTCATCTAACCTACAATCTAAGGTTACACTGACAAATTCGATGGGCCACCTCTTACAACAATGGCCATAATTCTTTGGTGAAGCCAAGAATAAAAGATAGAGAAAATAGTAAAAAGGAAAAATAAACAATAGAATGAAAAAATCATTTGGCAGTGTAGCAGATGGGAATGACTCGGTCAGATATACACATATAGATCGTTCTGGAAGGTTGGCTGGATGTATGTGGTGGCCTAGATTCGGATTGAGAAAATACAGTGACTGGGTGTGTAAGAGATTTATTTATTGAGACATAGAGAATAACAGAGGTGGTTGCTATGAAGGAAAGGGGAAAGTAAATAAAATACAGAATTAGGAAAGAAGTGAGTATATAGCAATAAGTACAAAGAAGAAAGAAAAAACAAGGAAAATAGTATATCATGAATGAAATGAATGATAGATTGGAAAAGAGCGTAGATAAAAGTCAAAGATCGGGGAGACAATGTTCATTCAAATTTTACTAGTTCTATAGCGTTGGAAACTATCCGATGTATAGCATTCAAATTCGATTTTCGAATGTTCAGCAATCTTTATTATGTAGCCTCGAATTTAACAAAGAAAACAGAATAACAATGAGCAAAGCGATATATATATATATATGTATGTGTGTGTGTATATATATGTGTTTGTGTGTGAATAATATTTGCAATTGGAATTAAGACATGTTTAATAAATGACCATTTTCACCTACGAATTTTCATTTTTATATTCGTTGAATTTTTTTGAATGGTCGTATGAAGAAGCATGAACATAATAAGTTTGAAAAATCCATCGAATTTTAAAATGAAAATTCGTAGGTGAAAATGGTCATTTACTAAAGTTATCGTAATTCGAATTGTAACGAAAAGTTGCTCTGTTTAATGAAATAAACATTGAGCGCTTTTCTGTAAGTCAGTTTTAGCATATTTCAAATTCTATGTTATTTTCATACCAATGGATTACTGCGGATAAGGAAACATATATATATATATATATATATATATATATATATATATATATATATATATATATGATATATGATGTGATTTAGGATTTTGTTGTGAATTCATTCTCTGTAGTAATAGACATTGAGCTATTTTTCTGGATCAGTTTTAATATTTATCTTACTAGAATCCACTTGGATTATATACCGACAGATTCATTACCTTTATATATATATATATATATATATATATATATATATATATATATATATATATGTGTGTGTGTACATATGTGTATGTATATATATATATATATACATATATATATATATATATATATATATATATATATATATATATATATATATATATATAGATAGATAGATAGATATAGAAGAATTGCAAAATTTCACATCAGAACATGATTATTGAATCCCGTGCCTCAAGCTCCATGTGATAAGGCGCTGAATGTGGTAAAGTGTTTGTTATAGAATTTTTCATCGTGTTTACCCCAACGATGTAAGCTCTAACATTGACGGCGAGGATCTGCTGCCTTAATGAAATAACAATCCATTTCTTCATTATTCTCCGGCACCAAACCCAATCCAGATTTTAACAAACCTTTCATCACTGAGTGTATATCATTTCACACGTCTCACAGATGCTCCTCGTTCCTCTTGCAAACTTGGTGTATCTCAAGAATATCCGAGTTGATGGCTTGAAAGCAAATATACCAAGGACAGTAGAATCACTTCCACATCTTTTTGTTTAATTGGAAACACCATTTTCGAGGCATTTAAAAGAGAAACATTTAAACTTTGCACATGCTGCGTATCATTGCAATATATGTTTATGTCATTATGACCGTCAAAATGCCTATTCTGAAATAACTTCTGCATTTTGTACCATTCAACACAGACTGATTGACAAGAAAATAATGCTACATATATTTACAGAATGAAAGAAGCAGAAATACATAATCTCATCTATTTCGATAAACATAGACGTAAATAAACTGCGATTACAAAAGAGAAAACTAATTATGAACAACTTAGAATGAAAATAAAAGTCGAAAAATTTATTAGATTAGAACACGTCTTATGAATGTTACGGTATAAAACGGGTGTTCCAATAACTGGACCGATTTTAAATGTGAATTATGTTTAAGCGTCTGAAATTTGTTTTTAATTTTTCAGATTTGGCAGATATTTGGGCGATATTATTTTTCACACTTAATTGTCATGACTTAAATAACATGATCCAGTAGAGAAATAAATAAATTTTCACTAATAACACTGATTTATTTATTGCTGACTTTGATTCGTTTAAAGAAACACCCTTTATACCTACTATGCAATCTATGTTAGTATAATTCAGGATGTATTTATGCGTGGCCTACTTTGTGTGCTGTAGATTATTAATAATATAAAAAGAACAGAATACTTAGGTTTGTAAGATTGTATTAGGCAATCTACTTGGAACAGAAAAAAAATAAACCCAGAAAATATAGACGAAATTTTAATACATTCGTAAAGTTTCCGTCCATCGATTTTATTAAATTTTCTATTGTTTCGACTTTAATATTATTCGCAGCTGTTTTATTTTGCCCACAAGTTGTTGCTGGAATATTTCTAATCTCCTATACATCTATTTCTATAATAGAACGCAGGTTTTCTATTGGATTAATATCTGGTGAAGCTGGACGCCTTTCCATTAAGTTGGTGTTTTTGAAAACGTATTTGGTTATATTGAATTTTGAGCAGAATATGAAGGAATATTGCTTTAAATGTGTATATTATTTCATGTAAATCTTCTTTGCTGTTATTCAAAATACATATTTCAAGAAATTTAATCTGATTTTACATAGGCACCATCATCAATTTTTTAACGACCTATTATTTTACCGTCTACCCAAATAGCCCAATCCTGTACACTACCCCTTCTAAGTTAAATGAATAAAGAAATCAACCTGATTAATGATAAATGGTAGATGTCAGTTTATTTCAATATACCATATACTTTCATCACTAATAATTACTATTTGTTGTTCATGTAATTCATCACCCTAAAGTAGAATGTTCCTTGTGATTAGATGATTTCATATTTTTGCCAATGTACACACTATTCAGTATTTCAAATACTCAGCCTTCAACTTCAATTATTTATATGCAATTTAATCCTATTTTATGGACTATTAAAGACTGATTATTTTCAATCTCGTTTTATGACATTCACAAAAATATTCAGTTTACTTTGCTTCACTCATTCATATATACACTTTCTTTTTTTTAGTGGATTTTTCAAAGTTGTTCATAGGTTCGTAGGAAATGCTCACATCATTCAATAAATTTATAATATCTCATCTCGTTCCTGACTTATTATCTTTCTCAAGACACTTCGATTTTCATATAATTGCAATCAAAAATAATTACGTATCAGCTAATTTTGATAATATATGAATATTTTGGCGATACAATAAAAAATCCCGTAATTTGAATCAATATAATCAAATTAAAATCTGAATGTCACATTTATTTTATATATATATATATATATATATATATATATATATATATATATATATATATATATATATATACATACAGGTGTTTTCAAAAAGAATACGCTGTTTTTTTCAGGTCTATAGCATTGTAGTGGACTGAATCAGTGATTGGGTGTCAGTTTCACCGATCTCTTTAGTATAACTTCCGGTGCAGCTACAAACAGGTCAAACCTATCTCGACATGCTCCAAAAATGGCTATTCACTTTACTGCAAGCAGATTCGAATGACTTCATTTTTCAGCAAGATGGAGCACCACCCCATTGGCATCTCGGGGCTAGAGCTTATCTGAATGAAAACGTGCCTCAGCGATGGATTGGGAGGAGAGGTGCTAAAAGACCTTGCTCCCTGTGCTTGGCCTGCCAGATCCCCGGACCTCACTGTATGTAACCATTTTCTTGTGGGGATATGTTAAAGACCAAGTTTATGTTCTAGTACTTCCAGCCAGTATCGATGACTTGAAAGATCGAATAACAGCTGCAATCAACCGTGACATGCTGGGAGGAATTCTCATATCGGCTTGATGTTGTCTTGCTGCCGGTGGTGGCCACATTGAGCACTTATAAAACAGGAAATGAAACTTGAATGTATATATAACACATGTGTTCATGCTAGAGGTTTGTAATTTTTTACGTTTTTGACATATCACGTGATGATTTTGGCGTATTCTTTTTGAAACACCGTGTATATATATATATATATATATATATATATATATATATATATATATATATATATGAATAGAAAGATAAGAGGAAAAACGATTCTTAACCGAAAGCTTTTTGTCCTCAGAAGAGTTAAGTATATATTCCTCTTGACTTTATATTCATTTTACAGATGCACTTTATCTGAAAATAATTTACCTACACACACACACACACACACACACACACACACACACACACACACACACACACACACACACACACACATATATATATATATATATATATATATATATATATATATATATGAAGAAATTTTGAAAAAAACAAACAA